AAATGATGTCCACACAAAAAATGACTAAGGAAGAACGACCAGCATAGGCCAAGCCGGCTGCTTGCCTCCTGCGTCCGGCTGCTGAGCAGCCGGCCAACTGACTTTTATCTTGATTAGCTAAGCTCTAGACGGCCGAAGTACTTGTCTATCCTAAACAACCAAGTCCCTAACCCAGCCACAGACGCAGAGTGATTGTCCGGCTGGCAGGGCGGCAGCCAAAGGAAGGCGGCAAAGGAAAAGGCCAAAAAGAGGAAAAGCCAGAACCCGACAAAGAGCACAAGCTTGTGCGAGAATAAGATTGTTTACATAAAGGCCCATGGCCAAGCATTCAACGCAGTTTGAATCACACCCCCAGCAGGTGGAACTGCACAAATTTAACTTGTGTGTTCAAAAGTTACAAGGTTGGAAAAACATGAAAGATAAGTGGCCCTAGGCTAGGGGCGTGGCAGGCAGCGTGGACAGGTCGGCAGAGGCAGAACTACCGGCTGGTGGAGCGTCCGACTGGCTGGTCTCGGCTTGGGCGGTAGTCGACGCAGTCTCCCACGGCCCGCTGGTCGAGGCCCGATCAGGCTGAGGCCACCTGCTCGCTCCGTCATCCAGCGCGACGTCCCCATCTTCCTCGCCCTCGTCGCTGGAGGCGATCTCTGAGTCCTCCCCCTCCCCGGGGTTCAGCCTGAACTAGTTGGTCGGCACCTGAGCGCCTTCTTCGTCCAACTCCAGGATGAAGACGGCAGTGTCGGCGTACTCAGCGATTACCGTCGCGCGCTTGACAAGGTCGTCGCGCACTAACTCCAGCTTAGGTCCGGCCTGCTACCGGAAGGTGGCCAGCTACGCCAACCTCAGCTCTGGATACCAGGCATTGGTGAACTCGAGCGCTGTCCTGGCACCTGCTCGAGCCACAGCGCCCTTCCAGGCCTTGAACCGCTCAACCTCCAGCCAGTCAGCAGTCCAACAGGGAGTGCGAGGGACCTGAGCATCTGGCCAAAGCGCGGCCAGCACCTGTGACCCGGCGCGCTCTAGGCGGCGGAGCAGGCGGTGAGCTGGCTCCAGGCGCGTCTTGATGGTCAGGAGATGCTCGCCAAGGTTTCGAGGCGCGTTGGGCAGAATGTCCATGTCTGCCCTCCTTCACTGCTTGCGCCACGCCTCGATGGCCTGGCTGATGGCGATGGAGTGGCTGGGAAGAAACTTTGCTCAAAAAGAAGATCAAAAAAGTTTAGAAGCCAGAAGTCGGCTCATGCACTAGTCGGCGACTGTGCAACAAAAGAAGAAATAACTTACCATCGATCATGTCCTCGATATCTCCATAGCCATCCGATAGTAACTTCTCCTTCTCGACCCAGTTTGAGCACTGAGTCTCGAACTCGGCTTTGAGGAGATCTTCACCATCCTTCAGCTGTTGGACGTCCGCCTTGTACTTCTCCACCTGGTCCGCCAGCTCCTTCGCCAGCCGGTCGCACTCTTTGGAGGCCCGACTGCACTCCTGCTCCTTGGCGCGATGCTCACTCTCAAGCTCGCCCACCTGCACCTGCAGCTGACCATTGGCCTCTGCCAAGATTCGAAAGAAAAGCATCAACCATCGACACAAAAACAAGAAGTCACCGGAAGATCCGGCCCAACTGCTCAGTAGTCGACCCGAATCTCATGGGCTACACCCAGTGGTGCACTTGCCCGCCCCCACCGAAAGACAAAGTTCCAATCTCGGCTCTGGTTCAAGTCAGCGGTCCATTTGGCCGGCGCCTGGTTTTGAGAGTTATAGGCGGCCGCACGAAGGTTGTGGTAATCCTACAGCAGAAGGTAGCTCAGCACTCGGAAGCTCACCTTGATGTTCCAGGCCGCCTGCTCACCAGCCGGCCCAGAAAACAGGGCCTACAACCAGTGAGTGCGCTGAAGCACCCCCATGGCCGCCTGCATCTCCAGCAACTCGCTCCTGGACTTCAGGAGGGTGGCGCCGTGGGCGTTGAACTACTCCAAGATGCCCTTCACCGACATATTGAGGATACCAGAGCCATCCCTAACAACCAATCTGGCGGGGCGGCGCTGGTGGCCATGGTGTCGGGTGCTGACGAGCTCACAACCCCCACCTCCATCAGCCTTGGCGCCGAAACCGCCCTTGCAGGGCGCTGGCACGCGGGAACGCGGGTTGTCGCCACCCGGCCCACCACCAGCTCGGCGCTAGACGGCGGCACCACTTGCACTTTAGGCTGGTTGCTCCACTCGCCAGCAGTCAGTGCATGCGGAGGCACCTCCATCTCTGTGATGACAGGGTCTACCCCTCTCCTCTCTTGGGCCGGCTGGTCGGCTCCAGCCCCTCCAATCGGCACCTGGCCCTCCACCACCAGCGGATCTGTGTGTTGCGGATCGGTGGCCTTCGGAGCCCTGTCGCGGGATGCCTCCTCCTCCCGTGCCTTGGCTCTCGTGTCCACCTGCTCCTTGGCCGTGGTGTCGACCTGTGCCTTAGCCATCGCGCCGGACTTCACCCGTGCCACGTCGGTCACCTCCTCCTTTGCTCGGGCCGTGGTGTCCCACTCCTGCCGAGCCTCCAACTCGTTCCTCTCCATCACCTCTCGAAGGGCGACGCTCGGGTCCGCATGACGGAAGTTTCTAGAGCCGTCTGCGGCCCCAATCACCGAGGCGAACGGGGCCCGCGACAGAGAAAACGGAGCCTTGTGCAAACATGGCAGGAAAAGCTAAGAAAAGTTTGCAAGAAAAGAAGCGAACACATGACAGAGATTCTCAAGAAAGAAAAGCAAAGACACTTACGCGGACACCATTGGGCGCTGCTTTGGGCCCTTCCAGATGATGGCCGCCTTCGCGGCCTCTTGCTGCTTGTTCGCAGCGACCGTGCCCCTGTCCTTCTTGGATGGCCGGCTGCCGTGTTGCGCCTATGCATCAGGTGCTCTAGTCAGCGCCCTCTAGATTCCCCCTATTTCCAATCCTCCACTATTGCCTTGTTGCTTTACTGCCGTAATAACTTATAGATGAGTTGTTAATATTTATGTGATGTCTCATGAGTTAGTTCACAAATATTTGAATACATCCACTTTTATGGAACAACCATGCAAAAAAATTTGTTGCATTCCCTTTGCATCCACTCTGAATTTCTATTGGCTCAAGTGAATGTGCACCCAAATCAAAAGATTATTTGGACTAAGCTAACACATGCACCTGACTCCGAATCCTATCTAGATTGAGTCAAAAACATGCACTTTATAAGATTCCTGCAGAACTAATTTAGACTTGAGGTGACTATTTGTATTCCTACAGATCTATTAGACTTCAGGTGGCCTTTTTTATTCTTGCACATGGTTGTTTGTTAATGGAAAGTTCTGCAACATTTTGACAAATGGTATAGAGGGAAGTCAACTGATTGCTAGATTTATCCTCGCATGGAATTATGTTCACCAACTTATATATATTACCATGAATTTTGTTTATTTGTTATGCAGCAGTCATCTCAAGGAATTCGACACACTGATTAGATTTCCACATGTAGTATTACATATTAATCTTATATTTTTTTCTTCAACTCTATTGTTTCGGTCTACTGTGTTGTTGCTATGCATTGGTTAACAGTCTGATTTGCTGGAAAGTACACATATTTTCTCTACGCCTGAGTAAGATCCAGTTATATAATCGATACCTCGATACCTCTCTTGCTTGCTTACTATTTGCATCCATGTTTTCTTAGTTGTTTCAAAGTAAAGTACGTATGATTCATTGTGAACATGGATATAGCTGCATGTATGTTTTCTCTTAGATAAGGCTATTTTATGCATACACTTACTTTACTGGAGGTCTAAGATATTTGATTGTGAAGATGTAGGTGAAAGAAGCTACATGTTCTTGGTATCCATGGAGTCTGACAATATTGCTGGATCAATTTATATTCACGTGGTGTGGTCATGATATATACTTTGAAAGTAGACATTTAGCTGAAAGTAGACATTTTTCCCAATTTTGGTGTTTTCTATTGTATTCTTTGTTGCCGAACCATATTCTTATATGGTTTAGTTTGGTAGAAGTGTCAGTTTTAACTCTTTTTATGTTGTTCCCAGTGGCCGGTGTTGTTCTATACATAGATGTCATGATAGCCAATCATTTATTAGTCTTATTTTCAGATTCATGTTGCTTGGCTGATGATCTGTTATATTGTTACTAGTTTTTTGTTGGATTTTAGTCCACCATGATTTGATTCATTCCTACTAGCCCTATGAAGTTAGAATGGGCCAATCCGTTCTTTCATAATAAAGAGAGATATGTATGTTCTACACTAATAAGCATGCATCTGCTTTCTCTATATGTGGATAGAAACTACATGCATAAGGTTGGGAAAATTTCCATAGAAAACCCTAGTAGGATAAATAATATAATATGGTTTTTATGACACATCAAAGTCTTTATATTATATTATATTATATTTTTTCAATGGTTCCAGGTGAAGACCAAAGATATTGACTTATAAAACATTTGAAGTATCCGTGATTAGCACCAATGATTACGATATAGCGGGATTCCTTTGGTCTATTTATGACTTTGCAGTCTATTTTACATCTTACCTTGGCTTAATCATGCCCAAAATACCAAAGCTCTCCCTTCACCATAGCCCAAACTGTATCTTCTTTGTTCTCCAACAATATATACTTTTTTGATGACAATTGTCCCTTGGGAACCCTGCTCAACCAACCCAGCAATAGTCATCAAACATGCATTTTTCATTGGTACTATGAAAAAAAGGTTTATGAAATTCTCTAGTCCAAATATTATCATCGCCTATTTTTCATTGGGAACACACTAGTAATATATAACTTTATTTTCTTAGTAGCATGTAGACCATGCACGACCTGAAATGACATGTGTTGTCGAACAAAAGGGAGTACTTAATACACTTGGCATTTAGCAATACATGATACAAACATTGGTCCCAAAATGATCACATTTTATACATGATACCGCATAGATTAGTCCCAAAATGATCACATTTTCTACATGATACCACAAAGTTATATCTGCCGTGTATCAATAACCATTGTCCCTTGAGAGAAATGTTCATAGAGCCCGGTAATATAGTCCTTCACCTTAACTTTCCTGTACAATGGTGGTCTCTTCTCATTAATCGGCTGAGGCAATGGCTCCATTTCTCTCTTGTGGTCAACAGAGTAGCCTAGAGTCACCAATAGCCTCTCGTTCTTTGCATTTGTCACAACCCTATGCACAGGCCTCTTGAAGAGCCCATTGCACATTATGTCGGAGCGATTGACAACGGGTAGCCTCATCAACACCGCATTGTATTTCAAGACATCGGGGCTAGTTGCGCCCCTCACACCTTCTGGATGAACGACCGACTCCTTGGGCCTGCTGGTCCAGGGGGGCGGCAGCTAGAAGACGGCGAGCTCTCACTAGGAGGCCTCAGGCAACCGACACCTAGCAGGCAGCCTTGTGTTCCCTCAAAGTTTGCACCCCTTTACTACGACGAGACAGGGCATGGCTACCGGAACATCTACCACCCCCAAATCCCGGAAGAGCGTGGCAACAGTGCGGGCATACTAGGCGGACATCCCTCGACCACCGCCGCACTATAACCACGTGAATCGTGACGTGGCCTACGTCAGCTAGGGCCAAGTTCCCATGATGTGCGGTCGGTACGGCCTACAGGCGACAGGCCCTACCTATCAACAAGCAGCTAGTAGATGGTGCAACCCGAGCAGGCAGCCATGAGGACGGGCCGACCTCTAGCAGGCGGCGCTCCCTCCCCTCGGAGTCTGCCCGCCATTAATCTAATGAGACGAGGAGTGGCTATAGTAAGCGCCCACCAGGCGGCGGGACTGTAGCTGTACGTCCCCCGATGAGACTTTCGTCACCAAAGGCAAGGGTACAGTGAAGGGCAGTTAGCGTGGCCCGCAGGCGGCGAGCCCACCTGTCGGCCTAGTTCATGGCAGGCGGCGGGACCCACCAAGCGATGGGCCCCAGCAGCCTGCTGAGAAGCCGGCGCCTAGAGACACTAACATCCGGGTCATACACCCGGACGGATTACCATTGTATCCCTGGGGGATATGCCTATATAAACCCCCAGGCTCACCCATGCAAAGGGTTTAGAACCCTAGCCAACATACACACACATAGAGAGAGGAGATAGAGCTAGCCTTGCCCTTCTTCCTCCTCTAGCCGAACAGGTCGAGGAGCAACCTTGTAGCTACCTTATTGACGATAGTCATCATGCAGAGACCCCGCAGAGTAGGACTAGGGGTGTTATATCCATGGAGAGCCCCAAACCTGGGTAAGACTCATAGGCATTCGAGATCTCATGCACTCCCTCTTCCAGGGCCCGACGACTTACTCCTGTCCCCATCCATGATAAGGCACCCCCTATTATACGTTGCTAGATATCACCGACATGTGGCGCTGACCATGGGGCCAAGTGCACCGTCGGCCAAAAACACATTCTGGATGGGAACCGTCTTCCTTCCTGGCGAGTGCAGCCAGCCCAGCACACCTGATGGCGTTTGCGTCGACGCGCTTCGCAACATGGAAGCCGCTTGTGTCGCAAGCTTCCTTGTTGAACTCATCGGCTGGACCAGCCTCTCCGACGAGCCCGTGCCTGATGTGGGAGCAGCCAGCTCCGAGAGATGCCTCGTCGACCTCCTTGCCAAGCTCTGCATCACCAATGAGCCCGCCTCCGACCTGGAGTCCGTCGGCTCCACCGACCTGCCCATCGAGATGATCATCGACTCGATGAGGCGCGGCTCTAGCAGCTCCTCGACACTGCGACTATGCAGCACGAGGTGGGCCGCCGCATGGTAGAACTCGATGGGCAAGCCGAAAACCACTCCCCCCCAACAGGCGGTGCTCACGATCAGCGAGAGCAAGAGCCGGCTGCTAGCCGCAGTCGGTGCACCCACATCACGGTTGCGACCAGGATGGCCGCCCATGTGCAAAAGAGCGATGGCGAGACCGTCCGCCTCCTCCTCGCAGGGAGAGGCATGCTTCCCTGCCGCCTCATGAACATCCACTCTCAGAGGCCGGCTGGGCACCCGTGAAGGAGTCGGAGAGAACGACGTGCACCACTAGATCGAGCAGCTTGCTCGGTCCCTGGCCGTAGAAGAAGAAGACGCGATCGGCCCGGCCTGCTTCGGCCCCCGCATCCATGACGAGCCCTTCCCCAAAGGTTTCTCACTCCCTCGATATACTCACAAGTACAACGGCTCTGTGTAGCCGAAAGACTAGCTGGTCGACTACTCCATGGCCGTCAGCATAACAAATGGCAAGAAGCGCGTTGTCGTGCCATAGATTCCATTCATGCTCCAGGGCACCGCTCGTACATGGATTTACAGCCTCAAACTGTACAACATCAATAGCTGGCTCGACATCACCGATGTCTTCATCCGCAACTTCACCAACACCTACAAGTGGCTACCGAAGCCTCGCCAGCTGCCCATGTGCGTCCAAGGCCCGGCTGAGTCCACCCGCAACTTCATGACACGTTGGGCCGAGTTGCGCAAATCCTGCGAAGGGGTGGAAGAGGTGCATGTAACGTCCCAGATGTAACATTCCATAATTGTAACTCCAACTCTTGCCATTTCCAGCAATTCTCTAAGTTTTATCCTCCGTGGTTGGGTTTTGTCCTCGTTTTGCATTTTGTTCATGTCATGCATTTCATGTCATGTCATCATGTGCATCTCATCTGCATTCGTGTTCGTCTTCTGCATCCGGCCATTTCCCCATTGTCCGTTTCGGAATCCAACACTCACACTTGCACCTATTGCACCTCTCAGATCTCATTTCGTGAGCGGGAGAAAAACGTTCCTGAAATGGGATGAGATTTGTCGAGTGGCCTTGGTACATCATTGCTAGGTCGCGTGTCAAATTTCGTTCCATTTGGAGGTCGTTTGATACCCCAACCATTAACCGTGTAACCGCTGAAACTCCTCTCTCTTTGCAGCCCAGCACCACTCCACAACAGACCACTAGCCCATCTAAACCCCCTCCATGCTCTCCTTTGTTCGATCACGATCGTGTGGGCAAAAACCGCACCTCAATAGCCCTCTCCTAGCTCCCAGAATCTATATAAAGGCCTCCCCGTCTAAATTTTGGGCGAAACCCTAGCCATCTCCCTCCTCCCGCCGCCGGGCGCGTCCACCCGACGCCGGACACATCCACTCTGCCAGGCCCCAGCCAACGGGGGCTCACCACGTCACCCCGCCACCGTCCCACCATCGTGCAGCCCGCCAGGCCCCTCGGCGGCCCTCCCGGCCCGCGTCGCCACAACAGCCACCCGCATGCACCCGTGCTTCGCTTCCCATGCCGCTGCCTAGCGCCACCGCTGCCGCATCGACCGCCGCCTTGCGCCGAAGCCTCCACCACCGTCACCTCACCGCCCCCGCCACCCCGCAGTCCGTCGCCGACCACCGCCCTCCTCACCAGAATCCGCACCAACCAGATCCACGAGGGTAGATCAGATCCACTAGGCCCGCTGTCCAAACGCCTCCGCCATCCCGGATCTCCTTATCCCGGAATCCCTCCGTCCCGATTCCGCGAGGTCAAAATTTCTCTCAAGTCCTGAGTTTTTCATATTTTGTGTGCATATTCATGAGGTCATAACTTCTCGCATGTGGCTCCAATTTGCATGTATGATAAGTCGAAATGTTCATCTATGAGTGCTCTAGATGATGGTGTTGTTTACATGCAAGTTACTCCTCATCTAGTTGACATAATCATCGTTGCAAAAGTGCTAAATGATGTAATCTGCTGGGAACTATCATAACTTGCTGATTTGTCTTTTTCATAGCATTTTGTGTGTTTTATCTTTTGAGCATCATGTCAACATGTCTTAGGAGCATCTTCATGCCACCTTTAAAGTGGTGCTATCGTTGTATTTTTATGTGCCCTGTGGTGACTAGCACAAGCTTGCAAAGTAGGGTAATTGTTGTTGCTGATTTCAGTGACTTAGTGATTTCAGCTAAGTCTTATACTGCTACATTATCTTGCCATGTTAACTTGATGCTACAAGTGAATCCATGCATATTTTGGTGATGCTCATTAAGGATGTTTTGTAGATATTGTTATGCTCTATACATCCATGCCCTAGTTTGCAATTATGTGTACTGTATCTTGTCATTACCATGTTCTCAATTTGCTGAATAATATTGTTGTCAGTCTGTTAATAGTAAGTTCAGTTTTGCCATGTGTATAACTGGTGATCTATGCATCCTATGACCATGCCCTTGCCATGAGTAGATGCATAATTACTTATTCATACTGTTGGTTGCATTCATATGCCATGAAATGCTTTGTGGTGAGTTGCACAAGCTCGCAAACATGCTATCATGAACCTGTTTCTACCATGCCATGTAATTCTACCAAGTCTGAAATCTGTTCATATCATTTGCCATGTTTGCATTGATGCTATCATCTTTTTTGTGGATCTTTGGAACAAGTTCGGTAATGTTTGCATTTAGTACTAGCATGCCATGCTCAAGTTTTCCATGATAGGTCCCTGTAACATGTAGTTTTTTATCTCTAAATGTTGCAACCTGATGTTGTTTCTGCCATATTCAGTGAATTTCTGCTAAGTCTGTTACACTGATATCATTTGCATTTTGCCATGCTGTTTTAGACTTGTTCTAGTGAGTTCTAGCAGTAGCTCAGTGTTCAAGATTTGTAGAGCTTCACTTGTACTTCACTGCCATGTCTTTTGTTTTCATGTTTGGGTGTTGTAGCATATTTCAACCTTGCATCTAAGCTGCCATGCTACTGTTTCAACATATTGCATTGCATCTTGTTTATCTCTTCATTAGCAAACCGGTCATCCGTTTCCGATGATCTTCATATCGATTTCAACCAAAATCTCTCAATCTATCCAGTGGCATGCTTGGTTTGCCAAGTTAGTGCCACATTCATCTTTCCCCTTCTGGAGTACCCATATGCATTGCACATCATATCTTGCATTCAATGCCATGTCTTGCATCATGTTGCTTGCGCATTGCATCGTGATTGATTGTTGTTCCATTGCTTGTGTTCTTGCCTTGGGTAGAGCCGGGAGACGACTTCGTGTTCGAGGACCCTGTCGAGTACGTTCATGAGGAGCAAGCTTTCGACACCTCTAAAAACATTGCAGGCAAGATGATCATTACCCCCGATATCACTTCTACCTCTGCTTGCTAGTTGTTCGTTCTATCGCTTTGTCGCGCTACCTACCACTTGTTTATCAAGCCTCCCATATTGCCATGTCAAGCCTCTAACCTAC